CTGTGCCTGATAGTTTTTTTTCTTCAGTTGTTGTCAGACCATTTTCTTGTGCCTGGAGAATATAGGGACAATGTGCACATACTGAGTTCTCAATTCTCACTTTCTCTAACCTAACCATTACTTTGATTTATAACTTCTATAGATAGTTGACCAATGTAATTTGAATCCGAGATGAATGAGATGGTATATAATTATTGTTTGCAATGATTGCAATAATTAACTTATTTAAAAGCATAGGATTTGAAATATACATTTTTATGGATAAAATAAGGTGAAATATTTGAGACTTTCACATATAAAATAGCAGTATTATTGACAGACACTTTTGTATATAAGCCAAATTTATTTATATATGTGAATCTGTGACTATGTAGTAGTCCCTAATAATGTACTAAAGAAAAATTCATAAAAATGTTTGATTCATGAATTTACCTATTTACTTAATATAGTTATTTTAAATGTACTGTATTGTTTTCACTCATAAGTGGAATGCAGACCTAAAAGAAATACAGCAATAGTATGAAAGACAGGTCACATTAAGGGAGGTCACACACCAGAGGGGGAGAGTATAAGAGGAAGTTAAGAAGGTGAATATGGTTGATGTACTCTCTATACAATAATGAATATAGAATTTTTTTTTTCTTTTATTATTCATAGGTTTTCAAAGTAGTCTCTGATGATTCCCTGGATTTCCTTGGTGTTTGTTGCTATTGCCCCTTTTGCATTTCTAATTTTACTGATTTGGGTTTTTTTTCCCTCTCCTTGTTTTAGTCAGATTTGCCAGGGGTCTGTCAATTTTATTTTTTCAAAGAACCAACTTTTTGTTTTGTTGATTCTTTATATGGTTTCTTTGATCTTTATTTCATTAATTTAGGCCCTTATTTTTATTATTTCTCTCCTGCTTGAGATGGTGTTGCTTGTTCTTGTTTTTCTAGGAGATTGAGATGTAGCATTAGGTCACTTATTTGAGATCTTTCTGACCTTTTCATATATGCACTCATGGCTATAAACATTCTCCTCAGGACTGCCTTTGCTGTGTCCCTTTGGTTCTGGTAGGTTGTGTTTTCATTTTTCTTAACGTCTAGGAAACTTTTCATTTCCTCTTTTACTTCATCGATGAACCACTGGTCATTGAGCAATGTGTTGTTCAGCTTCCAATCGTTTGCATATTTTCTGCTGTTGTTTTTGTTGTTGAGTTCTAGTTTTAATGTATTGTGATCAGATAGAGTGTAGGGGATTATTTCTGTTTTCTTATATTTGCTGAGGCCTGCTTTGTGCCCTAATATATGATTGATTTTGGAGAAAGTTTCATGGGCTTCTGAGAAGAATATGTATTATACGGATGGTGGATGAAATATTCTGTAGGCAGTAGCTAGGTCCGTTTGATCTACAGTGTGGTTTAGTTCTAGAATTTATTTATTGAGTTTTTGTTTGGATGGCCTACCTATTGGTGATGGGGGGTATTAAAGTCTGCCACTACCACTGTGTTGGAGTCTATATGTGCGTTTAAGTCCTTTAAAGTATGTTTGATGAAATTGGGTACACTGACATTGGGTGGATATAGGTTGATAATTGTAATTTCCTTTTGGTGTATTTCCCCTTTTATTAGCATTAAGTGTTCTCCTTTATCTCATTTGATCAATGTAAGTTTGAAGTCTACTTTGTCTGATATAAGTATTGCTACTCCTGCCTGTTTTCCAAAGGAAAACCTGCCATTGGCTTGGTAAATCTTCTTCCAGCCTTTCACCCTAAATCAGTGTTTGTTTCTGTCAACGAGATGGGTCTCCTGTAAACAACAAATTGTTGGATTTTCCTTTTTAATCCAGCTTGCCAAATGGTATCTTTTGATGGGGCTGTTTAGACTGCTGACGTTCAGTGTTAATATTGATAGGTATGTGGTGTTTCCTGCCATTTAGTTGTTTTTGTTGTTTAAGGATTTGATTGTGTGCAGCTGAATCAATGCTACTCTCTGATTCCTTGTCTTTTTTTTCTCCTGTGGTTTGATACTTCCCATTCTTTGTGGTTTTGTTTGCTTTCATCTTCTGTGTGTAGAATGCCTTTCAGAATCTTTTGTAGTGGTGGCTTGTTGATCATATATTGTTTCAGTTTCTGCTTATCATGGAAGATTTTTATTGCTCCATCTATTTTGAATGATAGTTTTGCTGGGTAGAGTATCCTGGGGTTGAAGTTATTTTCATTCAGTGCCAGAAATACCTCACTCCATGCCTTTCCTCCTTTTAAGATTTCCACTTTATGGAGGACAGAGAAGAGAAGGGAAGAAAAAAGAAAAGAAGAAAAAAGAAAAAAAAATCACTGTGGGCAAAGAGGGTTTCTCCGGAGCTGGACTTGCCTTGCTGGCTGTGCAGCGGGTCACAATTGTTAGGTGCAATTAAAGGCTGAGTTTTAGGTCAGATTTGGAATTTTTTCCTGCACCTATTGTGATGGCAATTATTATTTTGGTTAGAAGCAGTCAGAATTCCCCAAGAGTGGCTCCAATGCCTCAGAGAGGTTTTGGAGTCATGGAGGTTAGTCTTTATTTCTGTACTCTAGTCATCATCCTGGATCCCTTCAGTTAAGGATTTAAAAAAAATTCAATGTTTCTTCTTTGCAGTCTGGGAGATATTATATGTAATTTACATGAACTGTTATATTTTCTCTCATATTTTACTGCTGCCATTTGAATTTGGTATGAAATATCATTAAACTGCATTCTTACTTTAATCTACTGTATTGATAAGTACTGAGAAGCTATGATTTAATACCCATCTAATAATTTGAAATTGATATATTTTCTAAAGATATTTAATCCAAAATCAGGAAATAGCTTAGAGGCTGATTGAATCTGCTTCTTTCCAATATCTATGAGATAACATAGGCTTGAAAATAAATTTAAAAATTCATTGTGAGTGATGGGCTTATGTTCTTGTGGACCATGGATGAGTTGCTAGTTCCAGTTGTTATCAGTATTCAAGCTCTGATCTTTTGACTTGTCCTTGATAGTACCACTAGGACCCCATCCTTTGTCATTAGAAATGGAATTTGGGAATTATTTACAAATGCCTTACCACATTCTGTTTTAATTCTCTGCTTAAACAATGAAAAAAATTATATTTCAACAATATGGAACCAGAGATGGTCACATATATATTTGTATTCTCACACCATACTCAGTGTCCAGGATATCATAGATAACTGAATTTATCAGTTGTCACCACACAATACTGCATGATCACCAAAATTTTGATGGCATCAGCTCAAAGCACACTTACTTAATTCATGAGTTGTGGATTTCACCTGTCCTGAGTTGCTAATAGCTGATCTAGGCTGGTTTAGCAAAATATCTAGGATTTTAATGACTGTTGATTGCTTCAGCTTAGATAACTGGGGTAAACTAACTGCTCCAGCTTATGCTCAACCTCCACCAGGCTAATTTCGGCATGCTGTCATGGTCTAGTGGAAGTCTGAGTGTGAGAAAAACTAATTGTGTATGCATCCTTTAATCTCCTATTTGTGTCAGAAGAAGTCACATGGACTAACCAGAAGTCAGAGAAGGAGGGCACTGAGAAATTATATGTAAGCAACATGGATACAGAGAATGGTGAACTGGGGTCATTTGTACAACCAGTCCCTGCATTGAAAAACTTAACTGACCAGTAAGAGTGACATTAAGAGCATCATACTAAAGATCAAGAGTCATATCCTTGAACCTTGGCACTGTTTGTTTTATTAATATGGGTGAATTATTTAATAACAGTGAAAATTTACTTATTGGTACTTTCTAAGCTTTAAAAACCTTTCATTCTATAAAATTAAGTTTTTAACTAATTTAATTCTATACCTAGTCTGTAGAAGGAACTTTTGAGAAAAACTTTTCATTATCCTAAAATAGCTAATGTGGATGTCCAAAATTGACTGGCTAATTCTGACTGTGAATTGATTAAAAAAAAATATATATATTTTTTGGTGAGACTGGAATTTGAACTCAGAGCAATCACTCTACTGCTTGAGATATGCTTCTAGTTCATTTTGCTCTGGTTATTTTGGAAACAGCATCTTGAAAACTATTTGACTCAGTTGGTCTCAAGCTGTGATCGTCTAGGTTTCAGCCTCCCAGTAGCTACGATTACAGGCATGAGCCACCAGTGCTGACTTGACAAATATTTTCTAATCACATCCAAACTGATAAACTTCTAGTCTGAATTTGGATCTGAAACAAAGTGCTGAAGCTTAATTTCTTTCAGTTTGAACTGATGATTCTTAGAAGTATTCAATGTGTCAATATAATGTCAAACATTATGACATATTTATGAATGAGATGAGTTATAGGGGCCATTGATTCTGTGCCTTAATTCATGTTATCATGAGTTATTATTCTTTAATTGACGGGAGGAGTATTGTTTAATTCACAGAATGCTGATAAGATTGTGTGTAAATTTAGAGTAGATGTTAACTTTTGTATAAGAAGTAGCAATTATATAGAAATGACACTTGAATTTCATTAAATAATACATAATTACAGGGGTAGGGTATAGCTCAAGTGGTAGAACAATTGTCTACCATGCACAAGGCCCTGGTCTAATTCCCAGTATCACAAATCTACTATTACTACTTATAACAATGACAATAACAAGTAATTGTGTAATAGTTAACAAACTGCTGGATTATTTAAGTATAAGAATAAAAATTGGGTAAAATGTCCTAAATGAGAAATGTTTTATAAGCTTCACAGGGAAAAAGTAACATATACGAATAATTTTGGGAGATGATTTTATAAATCTAAAATCTTATTCTAGTCACTCAGATTGCTTCAAAAATTCTGCACCTAGATTACCAAAACATATAATTTATAACTTGCTTTGGCATATAGAGTGCTTTCTTTCAGACATACAGAAATGAGTTGCCATATGATAAATGTTTATCCTTGTCCTATCTCAAAGAACATTTATTTTGGACTGATAATTTCCCTGTGTAATCAATCACATTGGCCTGTGTCATTTCAGAGTCACCATGTAGACATATCCAAGAAACTTCACTCAACTCAAGCTGGCTGGGATTCAAGAGTACCAGTTGGTTGTCAGAATGATTTGGCTGATGTGGAGAAACAGAAGAGCAAGCGTGGGCCACTGCAGTAACAAGCACCAGTGTGACTATAGGTTAGGTAAGCCACAGGGTGATGGTTTCAACTGCTTGCCTGACAAAGTTACAATGTACAGAGTCATACTAACATTTTGTGTGGACTATATGGATTGGCCATGGAGACCACCCTAGCCTTTAAGTTTTATGAAGTTTTAAGTGCAGCATAATCTTAAACCTTCACAATAATGGCAGGGCTATTCATTGTTTTCTGTGGTTAAATTGTTTTCCTCATTTATGGTTTTCGTGTCCAAGAAAGTATTTTAATATTTCTTGTGTTGTTATGATAATGATGTTTTGATATTTTTACTAGAAAAATGAAGAAAAAGAGATTAATGGCTTGAAAAGAGGTTAAAATAATTGAGATGTTTAAAATTTAAAAAGTACCAGAAAGTAATCAAATGTAGACTTGAATTATGATGGTTTTGGTTTTATAGAGAGGATGATCTGATATTTTCATCTCTATTGAAGGCAAAACAAGAGCAAATGGGCCTGTGGAGGAGTTGATAGCGTTCAATTAAGCTACCCCAGACTAACTTCCATATGGTGGAAATGTGGGATGAGTTAGCAAGGGACATAAGAATTTTCTTTTTGGCAATATTATAGATGTACCAAACCAGCTCAGTTTCTATTATACTTTATCTTTGAAACTTTACATTTAGTTTGTAGGAAGATTGAAACTGTAATTACTCTTAAGCATACGATTTGTTCTTTTCTCCTCCTTATTTGGTTTTGTAGATAGCACACTTTTTATTCTCCAAGGACATGTAAAAGTCAAAATACTAGATATAAAGTCTCTGAAGTGCTTCTGCTCCAAACCCTGTCTGTACAATCTGGGTTCTTTCATGTAGTTAGCTTACTGGCTTCTGACACTCCTATAAAAATATACCATAGAGCTTTTCTTATTACCTTTTCACTGACTCTCTACAAGTGATAAAAAATGAAATTCTGTAAGGGGCTTTGAAAACCATGCATATTGCAATTCCTCCACATTTCAAATACTAATCAAGTGTGACTATAAAAGAAACAACCACTGCAGTGAAAATTGCTGCGGTATGTTGAGATTCAAAGCCATTATTAATTCATTGGAAACTATTTTTTTCTTTAAGATTATACATCCTAAAAAGTACCAGATAACACAATTCTTGAGATCAAAGTTTTTTGTTTCAATCACAGGGAAATCTGTTATCTAATCTTCTCTTGTGCATGTATCTCTGGGACGGTACAGTGGCAATCTGAGATCTGTATCCTGCACGAATAATACAAATATGTTACAGACCAGGAAAGCCCTGCTTTCAACATATTGCTTATAAGTGATGGTTTTTAAGGACAAACAGAACCTAGGATTAAAGGATATTATACTTCTTAATTTATTTAAGAGAAAAAATGAAATCTCCTTTCCTAGGTTAATTTTAACATGTATTTATTTAGAAGTTACATTATATGCACATCTGGGCAATATTACATCTGTTCTTCCATCTGTAAAGTCAATAAATAAAATCTTTCTTATTATGAATCATAATTGTATGACAATTCCATACATAAAAATGCAAAAGTAGAGCACAAATAAAAGTTTCCAAACTCTATGTTTATCTCATTATATAGAGTATATTTGTCTTCATTAAAAAAGGAACCAATTAGATTAACATTTAACATTCTTGGGTTGGTATGGGTAGCTCATCCTGAATATGCATGTGCAGATTAACCTCCTTTGAGTTTACGATACAAAGATGAGACCCCTTTCTGAGCTTTATCTCTTTTTAAATCATATGTTATATAAGATATACATTTACATAAATTGTGTTGTACAGATTATGAAGTGTACATTAATCAGACTTAATGGGAGAAATAACTCAATAGGAGATATATTTCT